CTCTTCTGCTGTTGCCTTGAGCCCAGCTGTGCTGAAATATTAAACTTTAGTAAATTAGGTGAAATTGCAGTTTCCTGGCTGATACAATAATGTCCTTTTCTTTTCCTGAAACCCATCTTCAGCATGAGTTGTCTGCACAGTTCTTTTGCATTGAGGGAAATAAAATTCAGAAGATCCTTCAAATCCAAACAACGCTTCCATTTTCAAGATAATTGTCTTACATCTTATTTAGGAGGACTTAAAAGTTTCAGATATGTAGAACTTGTCTACTATATTTTTGAGCCCTATATGAGCCCCATTATATCATATTCTGATGAGCAACTGAATCTCTAAAAATATCAGTTGTGCACAAAAGTAGCAACTTTTTCTTTCTTGATTAGCATATATATATATTTTTTTTTTTTTTGACAGGCAGAGTGGACAGTGAGAGAGAGAGACAGAGAGAGAAAGGTCTTCCTTTTGCCGTTGGTTCACCCTCCAATGGCCGCCGCTGCAGCCGGCGCACCGCGCTGATCCTGGCAGGAGCCAGGAGCCAGGTGCTTTTCCTGGTCTCCCATGGGGTGCAGGGCCCAAGCACCTGGGCCATCCTCCACTGCACTCCCTGGCCATAGCAGAGAGCTGGCCTGGAAGAGGGGCAACCGGGACAGAATCCGGCGCCCCAACCGGGACTAGAACCCGGTGTGCCGGCGCCGCAAGGTGTAGGATTAGCCTATTGAGCCACGGCGCCGGCTGAGCTTTATTAGCATATATTTTAACAATAATGATGAGCTATAGAAGAAAGTGATATTTCCAGCCATATTATTTTTATTTATTTACCCTTCTTTCTCTTTAAGGGTAGCATGAGTCTGAGTGCTTTCTTGATCAATATGTGTAAAGCTCTGGTTTGTTTTCAACCAAATGGGTAGAATGCACTGCAAGAGACTAGGCAGCCTTGTGTTTCTCTGCTTGGTACGTGTTACTGACCATGGGGCACAATCGCTTATTTGGCTGTCTGGACTACTTGGTTTCCAAAAGGCTCTCACCTTGTCTCTAGGAGCCTCCCATTGAAATAAAAGTATTTTGTTTACTTGGGAAAGTTAACTCATTAATGCCTTTTCAAAGCTTAAACCCTTTTGAAAGTACTTTTATGAAGGTGCTTTCAAAGTGGCGGAGTCCAAGAGTTGCTTTTGGAGAAATCTCAAATCTATGCAAGAGTGGAGTGAGTTGTCTGATGAAATCCTCAAATCACCACTATGTGGTTTATGCTTTACTGATGTTCCTCGAGGGTTCAAAGTCAGGGGTTAAACTTAGGGAGGCTGCTGGGGTTGGAAGGACTTGGGCCATGGGCCACGTGTGGGCAGGATGGCTGAGGGCTGAAATAACTGAAGCCCACTTCTAAATAAATCATTGGAGGGGCCAGTGCTATGGAGCGGCAGGTTAACACCCTGGCCTGCAGCACTGGCATCCCATATGGGCGCTGGTTCTAGTCCCGGCTGCTTCTCTTCCAATCCAGCTCTCTGCTGTGGCCTGGGAAAGCAATAGAAGATGGCCCAAGCCCTTGGGTTCCTGCACCTGTTTGGGAAGACCGGAAAGAAGCTCCTGGCTCCTGGCTGCGGATAGGCGCAGCTCCGGCCGTTGCGGTCAATTGGGGAGTGAACCAGCGGATGGAATACCCCCCCCCCCTGTGTAACTCTGACTTTCAAATACATAAATAAATCTTAAAAAAAAATCATTGGAGAGCCAGACTATATCACATATATCATTGTATTGAATCACTCTCCCCACAATAAGTGAGAAACTAGTCACTGCAAGTGAGATACTAACCAGTATGATCTAGACCAGCAGTCTGTGCCTTAGTTATGGCTCCCACAGCCCAAAACTTCATAGGCTGGGTGGCTGCAATAGAAATGTGTTGAGGTTTGTCTTCCTGGTTGGCAGATAGCAGCCCTTATCCTGCATCCTCAAAGTGCAGAGGAGTGATGAGGAAGAGGAGGAGGGGGAGGAGAGAAAGAGAGCAAACTTTCTCTTATTTTTTATTTACAATTCTTTAATATAGATGTATACAACATGGTATCATATTTAAATGTACAAAATAGTTTAAAATTATATTTCATGACAGAACTGTTACCGGTCATGGAGGGGAGGGCGGTTGCCAGAGCGAGTCTCCTGGGTTCTTTTCCTCAGCTTAGTATAGAAATAAAAAGCTGGGAAACAATTTGCAAAGAGGCAGAAACTTTTATTTGATAGGCAAGCGATGGAGAAAGCGTCTGGTCAGAGAGGAGAGCAGGCCGAGTGCCCGAGCGGGACACTGGCTTTGAGGAAGTGTTCCGGGTTTTTAAGGCATTACTGTTTTTTTCACTGGGTCATTCTGTGGGGGTACCCATTGGATGGGGGTTTCACATAGGTATGTTGATTGGCTTGGGGCTCAAGGAGATGGGGGGGTCTCCTGGAGACTGTCTCCTTAGGGGCTCAGCCCCCTCCTCTGCTAGCTCTGGGTGAAAGATTGTAGCCACCCTGAAGGTGTGATTTAAGGCTACAAGGTCACACAAGACAGCCTGGCTCTCCTGGAACCAGTCTGACTCTCCCCAGGGGCTCAGCCCCTTCCCCTGCCAGCTGAGGGTGAAAGGCTGCAGCCGCCCTGAAGGTGTGATTTCAGGCTGCAAGGTCACACGTGCAGCACAAGAGGCTGTTAGTGGGGGAGACGCTGGTTGGCCTGGAGACAGCTTTCCAGCCACAGCCGACAGTTTGCTTGTGAAAGATGTTCTACCTGTGTCTGCAGGGGCCCACAGACTCCAAGCCCCACTGGCCGGCCTCCAGAACGTTCCAAAATTCAAACTAATTAGGACCAGTAGCAGGAGGTTTATCAATAATCATGGAATACTTCTAAGTCTAGTAAACGTACAGCACATAATGTACATGTCAGATCCACAGATTCAAACATATATGACTGATCTCTTTAAATCAGGCTAGAATCTAATTGCTACTTTATAATTTATAGGTTGAAGTTAAGTGTTTTGTGGTAAGCTATGAAACATGACTACAAACAATGAAGACATATTTAACAGACTTAATTCCTAAGAGGCTATACTTGGAAACCTCAAAATTAGTAAGTCAGAATTCTCCCCCAAATTAAACTTCTTATGAATATGGGCATAAACTCTAAAGGAAGAAAATAAAAGCAATACAGATAACATATTTAGTTCCACATAGAGCCCTTGGCATAACCACACCTTCTCTGGGATACTTTTATTTTATCCTCATTTAGTGGGGACAACATATGTACATGCCTGTTCCAGGGAGGACTTGAGGTAGTTTAGAATACAGACTCAGAAAATACAAGAAAGCACAATGTCCTCCTGTCTCTTATAAGGGCACTACTCATCCCGGGATGTGGGCTCCAGCCTCCTGATCCTTCTCCTCAATACCATCCCATCGGGGATTAGGAATTCAGACGTCAATTTTGAAGGGACCACAATATTCACCCCACAGCGGTAATAAGAGGGCAAACTTTAGGGTTGGGTGTTGTGGCATAGCATCCACACCCCATAGCCGAGTGTCTCTGGGGTCAAGTCCTTACTTGGATCCCCATCCAGCTTCCTGCTAATCCCCACCTGGGAGGCAGTGGGTGATGGTTCCAGTACTTCCGTTCCCACTACCCATATGGGAGATTCAAATTGAATTCCCAGCTCTTGGCTTGGGCCTGACACAGTCCTGGATGTTGAGGGCATTTGGGGAGTGAAACAGTGGATGGAAGATCTCTCTGCTCTGCCTTTCAAAAATAAATAAGTAAATAAATAAAACAAAAAGCATTTTAGACAAATTAAATTTAACAGAGTTTATTTGAGCAACGAATGATTTACACATCAGGCAACACGCAGCACCTGCAGGAGGTCCAGGGAGCTCTGGCCTGCTGACCACAGGCGGACCATAAAAGCGAAGCATTGGTTTCACCTGGTTATCTACAGCCAGGGGGCCGCTTATTTGAGTATGGCTGTGGTGATTTGGCTGCCTGTGATTGGCTCAAACTTTTGTGCGTTCCCCTTCCAAATTCGGTTCCGGTTCGGTAGGGAAGAGCTCAGAGCCTCGTACTAGCCGCAGGCTAAGGGACCCTGGCTCCCGCCACAGCCAAGCGCACACTTTTTTTTTTTTTCTTGGAAGTGTCCTATAGTGGGCTCCAGGATCCCTGTCAGCCTACCTCGATTCTGCCCTTGTCATGCAAAAGCAGCCTCAGGTCAGGTAGTCGCCGATAATCAAAAGTAATGGGGCAGAGAGATGTTCCCATAAAAACGATTCACAACACCAGGCAGGGGCAGGATTTGGCCTGCAGGTGGTCGTGTGCCCATTATTAATGACTTCCCGGTCCCGGTATCGATTCTCTGTCGCTCTGAATCTGTTCCCACTCGGTTCCCGGAGCCTCCGAACGCCAAGTCCTCGGCAGCTATCGTGCGTTGGAAGGACGGGTCAAGCGGCTTGGAGTTTCCAAAAGTTTCCAAACGGCCCTTCTTCTTCTTGCTCCCCGGCCTGGTTTTCCCCGGGGGGGACGTGGTCGGGTTTTGGGGCGAATTAGAACCATTACCCGACCTTCCGCGGAGGCACACGAGCGCCCCGCTAAAAAGGTGAGGGCGCAGAAAAGTTGGAGCCCAATCAGCACGGGGTTGCGCTCCCGCGCCCCAACCTTCAGGTGACCCCGCGCGGCGGTAGCAGCGGAGGCGGCAGCAGCGGCGGCGGCGGCGGCGGTGGCGACCAGAGCCCGCAGCGGCTCCGAGCGCCTCCGGGAGGACAGGCGGCGAGCACGGCGAATTGTCATCCGGCAGCCGCGCGCAGGGGCCGGGGGCGAGCCGACAGTCAGCCGGGACGCCGCTTCCCCGCTCGTCGCCAAGACCGTGCCTGCCAGGCTACGGGCGCCCCCCCGGGCGTGCGGGCCTCGCCGAGCGCAGTCGTCGCCCCTCGCAGCCGCCTTTAAACACTGGGGCTGTGCGTGGCTGCGGCCGCGGTGGCGGTGGCGGCGGCGGGAGCGGCGAGTCGGGGCCGCCCCGGCTGCGCTTCGCCCCGGCGGCAGCAGCGGCGGCGGCGGCAGTGGCGCCCGTGGCTCAGGATGCGGCCGGGGGGCGCGCCGCTCGCTCTGCTCGCCAGCCTGCTGCTGCTGCTGCTGCTGCGCCTGCTCTGGTGCCCGGCCGACGCTCCTGACAGCTCCAGGTAACCCTCGCGGGCGGCCAGCCGGCGAGTCCCGCTCACCCCGCTGTGCCGGTGCGCCCCGCTGTGCGCCCTGAGCTCCCCAGCGCAGCGACTCTCTCGGGGTGCACGCAGACTTCGGGGAGAAGCCGACGGCCAGTGGTGGCCTGGGGGTGGGAGTGTGGAGTCGCAGAGACACGATCCTGGCACCGAGCAGTGACCGGCGGGGGGCCGAGAGGAACCGGCCAGGGGTGCGAGGGCCGCGGGGTGCGTCGTTGCCGGCGAGAGAGCTGCGGAGCGAGACCTCCCCGTCGGGTGCCTGTGATCTGCCTTGTGATTCTGGCTTTCCCTTCCTGCCCACCCTGAGGATTTGTAACCGCGGGGTCGGGGACCTGTCCCGGGAGCCCGAAGCGCGAGGGTGCCCCAGCCAGGCGCCCAGCGCGGCGCCCAGCCCGCCAGCCCGTGGCTCCCCGTGGGGTGTAACAACTTAGTTTTCTCCCTGGTTGTGCAGGCTGTTGATGGAGGAGAGCAGGGAGGCCACCCACGGCACCTTCGCGGCGCTGCGCACCCTCAGTAACCGGGCAATCCCCGTGCCGAGCACGACCAACAGGTACTGGGCGCCGGGCAGGGGTCCCGGGGTCGCGGGCCGGGCTGGGGGCGCGACTGCCCTGAGTGGTCTGCCAGACTTTGAGCGAGTGTGAGTGTGGGTGTGGGTGGCTGAGGGCAGAACTCTTCGCCTTCCCTCAGCCGTGTGAAACCTGTTCCCCGATGTGGATATTGTTGGAACCAGGGGAGCTACAGCAGCTGCACTTAAAAAATGGGCGCGGAGTGTTTTCTCCGCAGTGGTGCGTTGAAAACCCGGGAGAGCGGCAGCTCAGGCTGTCTGTGTTGAGGGATTTGGCTGGTTTGCTTTTTGTTTTGTACGCTGTAAAGTGCACCAGTGTTATAATTCAGCTTCAGAGGATTGGAATTCTTCTGTGTGCGCTCAGTGTTTTGTCCTTAGTGAGCGGGGAGTTAAACATTTTCTTGAGCATTCCTATGAATAGTTATTCATGGGCAGTAATTATTTGTATTTTTTTTATCTTTTTCTGATTACAAAAGTGATCCAGCTTAGTGCAGAAAGTTCGATAAACAGGAAGGAAACATAAACAAAAGATAATAATGACTATTTTCTAATCATCAGTATGAAAACTCACAGTCCCACAAGCCAGAGACCATATTCAGGTTGGTTCTGATCTATATCCTTGCAGTCCTATTGGATGAATAGATACATTTAAAAAAAATCTAGTTGAGACTGTATTTTATAGCTTGTCTTTCACCTGTTTCCCCTTAACAAAGACCTGTGTATGTTATTTCCGTTTTCTTCCCAAAGCATTGCTTTTGGTTGTTGCATAATTCATCCTATGAGTGTGCCATGATCTGTGTAACTGATTCTGTTTCTAGATGTTGAGGTTGTTCCCTGGTTTTGTTTTGTTTGCTATCAATGATTCTATCAAACGTGTCCTGGTACATAAATCTGTATCCGTTTCAAAGTAATTGCCCAAGACAGACTGAGAGAAGTTGCTGCACGTTTTACGTTGTAAGGCGCATTACCAAGGGTTGAATCAAGCTGTTTGCACCAGCAGAATGCCTGCTTTAGGCCTCCGTGTTGCTCTTATTATTGCAGTTCTAATATACAGTCTCCCCTCCTGTTTTTGTCTCCTGCCAATCCCTTTTCCCCTTTGCAAACTTCTGTACATGGTTGACTGCCAGATCTACCTCAGTTTGACCATGTGGCTGGAGGCTTCCTCCCATGACGGTCTGGCATGGCTTAGCAAGGGCCTGGAAGTGTCTGGAAGAGTCCCTCACCTGCCACAAGCTCCTCACTGGAATTTCAGTTTATTAGAGGCACTGAGAAATCCTGGAGTAGCAAAGGCTTTTGAGAAAAATATTGGCCTTGAGTTTTGTTTCATGTTGGGTTGTGTGCAATAGGTAGTCTAGCTTTTTCCTTGAACTGGGAATATTTCAGTTTTTCCTACGTCTTGCTGCTGTTACACAGCTTGGGGTTTCCCTTTTGGGAAAGTTTGAAAGAGTGTTCTCATTAAATGATCTGACTGTAGGTCTTTTTTGAGACAGTTTTTAAAATGGATTTTTCAGTTTCTTTTGGCATACTTTTTCTTTTCTTTTTTTTTTCTTAAGATTTACTTATTTGTTTGAAAGAGTTACAGAGAGGCAGAGACAGAAAGAGAGAGAGGGGGGTCTTCCATTTGCTGGTTCACTTCCCAAATGACCCCAATGGCCAGAGCTGGGTTGATCTGAAGCTGGGAGCCAGGAGCTTCTTCTGGGTCCCCCACATGGGTGTAGGGGCACAAGGTCTTGAGCCATCTACTGCTTTCCCCGACCATAGCAGAGAGCTGGATCGGAAGAGGAGCAGTCAGGACTCAAACCAGTGCCCATATGGGATGCCAGCACTACAGGCTGGGGCTTTACCTGCTGTGCCACAGTACTGCCCCTGATATATTTCTTTTCTACTTGGCATTCTTCTTGAGCTAACATAGGTAATTTACGTTATTTTCTCAATGTGGTCCATTTTATTGTTTTTTTTTTTTTTAATCGTGCCATACTACTGTATTTGGTAAAAAAAAAAATCCTCTTGAAATCAATCTGAAAAATAATGGAAAGACAGAGGTTTTTTACAAACACAGTATCTTCTTAATACTCTATGACTTTGATCATTTGCCTAAGATGGATAACATTTTTAATTCACCATATTGCTTTCTTGTGGGCAGAAACTGTAGTTTCTAAATTTTTCTCTAGCTGGTCTGATCCGCCTCAGTGAACCCCTCATCTTGGTGATGACGCTGCTAAGGAATCAGCACTTAAGGAACTACTCTTAGAGGCCAGGCATGATCCAAGCTCCTTACACTTAGAAACTCACTTACTCCTTAAAGAATATTATTCTCATTTGAGAGATGAGGGAATGAGGCACAGGGAGACTAAGTAAATTTCCCGAAGTCACATTGATAAACAGAACGTGGAGTCAGCAATGAAAGCCTGGCTATGGGAATCCTTACTTGCACGCTCGTTGCCTTTGGGCTCTTTTGGAATGTGGCCTGTGCCTGTGCTTTGATGTGACGACGGGACGACGGGAGCCACGCTTTGTGACCCCATTTATTCTCTCCCAGGACATCATGTCTTCTCACTGTGAGATGACATCCACTGACGTGAGGGGGAGAGGCTGCAATGATGCAGTGGTGGAGTTACCAGGGGGATTCGTGACCTTGGTATCCTGGAGCTCTTCTGATGGCCAGGTTGATTTTAGCCCCTTTCCCTTCTGGTGTCGGCCAGTCAGGAGATATGCAGCTTGTGGTTCGTTCGTTTTCCTGAGGTACTGCACCTGCTGGTGCACCCAGCTCTCTTGGCCTCACCTGAGCTCCCACTGATGTTACCTCTCAGGGATCTGATGAAGATCTACTATCTCACTCAGCTCTGGGTAACCAGCTCCCAGCCACTCTTAGCTGGCCTCCATTGAAACATACCCGAGCTATGCTTGGTTCAGGGAACTAAATATATCAGGGCTTCCCTCTACTTGCCCCACTGAGTAGATGTGACCCCACTGACGGTTGATTTCAAGTTGTGGGACAGCCTACGAGGTGACGTGTTTCCAGAATCCTAATTGGAGGAGGAAGAGACAGTTCTCTCTGTCACTATTGTTACTCCCACCTTTCTCCCTCTGTGCCCAATCTCCCTCCTTCCTTGTTCTCTCCTTCTCCCACTCTTCTCAGCTCTGGAGGGGTGCAGCATTCCCTGTTTCACTTTTCTTTGCCCTCATTCAGACCTCTAGATCTGAAGCAAGCAGAGCATTAGTGGTAAACTGGGGAAACCAGAGAAAAGGGTCTTGTTACACTGAGGGGCTGTGTCTTCCAGGTAAGGCCATTCATGTGCTAGCAGGAGAATAAGAGGAGTTTGGAAAATCTCTTGTGGCTGTAGCAAATTCTGTTTTGCTTGCTTAATTGGAATATTCCTGTATCCTTTCCCTTCTCATTCTTTCAGTAAAAAGTCTTAATCTCTGCACCCTCACACAAAGGGTGTTTCACAGGACTAGGGGAGGGTCATGTCTCAGAAGTCAAAAAGGGAAAATATGCTAATCATTTTCAAAATATGACCCTATTACAATGGATTCTTTCTGTTTCTAGTAAGCTTTGTCAAAGTCTGTAATTGGTTTGCTTGTTTTTCAGACAATCAACTCTTGGATTTACCTCTCGATTCTGATGTATTTCCAGGTTCAGTGTTCGTTGCTTTAGTTTGTACACCCCCCTGCCCTGCCATAGTAGGTAGGGACAGTAGGGATCTCATTCATCCATTCATGTGTGTCATTAATTAGATGATGAGGCATTTGTCTCCCTTAAGAGAGGCGTAGTTACTCCACTGGTTACCAAGTTTGTATTTTAAAATACTCCTTTTCCCCACTTAATGTCTTTAAATGAATACTTGATTAATTTATGTTGTTTTCCTTTATAATAAAAATATTTAATACTATGAATTTTCTTCTGAATGCAGCTTTGGACTTGTTGAATTTTTATACAAGGTGTTCAGATTTTTTTAAAAAGATTCTAATTTTTTATAATTACATTTAAATTAAAATTTTTTATTTGAAGTTATTGAGATTACTTTTACATTTCCAAGTGATTGGGCTGTTTTCTTTTAATTTACTGTTTATTAAAATAATATTAATTTCATTTTTTATTATGAAAGAAATCTAATAAAATACTGGAATAGTGTTACAACTGAGTTGCCAGATAGTCAGTGCTTAGAAGTGAGGGGTTGGATTATTGTGAAGCTGATGAGATGGCCAATACAGGTCTGCGAAGCCAGCTGATTTGGCATTCTAGGGTCTCTTCATGAGAACTATCTGTGCTGGCTATGGGTGGGCACCCTGTAATGACAGCCACTCATTTGACTTAATTCCAAAGCATGACCACAGTGTTTATCAGCTGTGGCTGGCTGGACCTTCTGGGATGACAGCAGCTGTTCTTTGAGTGTCTGGGTTAGTTGGTGCTTGTTAAATTGGCTGATTGTGATGATTTGCACTGTGAATTTGTTTTTATAGACAGATCTCCATTTTTATACACAGGTTGCTCTGCTGTTTGCCATAACAGCATTTCCCTCTACTTCCAGTCATGCTTTCTCCCTGCAGAAGGACTTGGACTTTTCCCTGTTTGGGAATTGACTGGGCAGAGAGCTGACATCAATTGCATTATGTCCCAGTTCACACGGTGGGAGAGAGTGCCTTTGCAGAGGTTTTTATTGTATGTTTTTAGATGAACACAAAGAAAAGGAAAATCACTTGTCATGTCAACACCCCAAAGATACCATTTTGTGTTACCTTTTCAGTATTTCTTATGCGTATACCTAGTAATTTTATTACATGTATTTTGATGTCAGTAACACTATTTTATTTTATTTTTTAAAAAAGATTTATTTATTTTATTTGAAAGTCAGAGTTACACAGAGAGAGAAGGAGAGACAGAGAGAAAGAGGTCTTCCACCTGCTGGTTCACTTCTCATATGGCTGCAACAGCCGGAGCTGCACTGATCTGAAGCAAGGAGCTTCTTCTGGGTCTCCCATGT